ATCCCAGGAATTCAAGGACAGACACTGAGTAGATATAGAATGTGTTGTATGTAAGAAACTCCCTTACAATAAAGACACAAGGATGCTAAAAGGGAACAATAATAATGCTATGCTGACTTAACATCTGGTACCAGGGAGGGGAGGGAAGAGGAAGAGAAGAGAAGGCATATAGGAAAAATTAATTCATTCAGAAAATATATTCACATTTATAAATGTTTATGAAGCTATTAACAAAGCTTCAGAACTTAGAAAGCAAAAAAAAAATTGTCTCTTAGTCAGTGTTCTATTGATGTGAAGAGACACAGCAATTTTTAGGAAGGAAACCATTTAATTGGGGATGGCTTACAGTTTCAGAGGTTTAGTCTGTTATCATCATGGTGGGAAGCATGGCAACCTGCAGGCAGACTGCTGGAAGAGCTGGGAGTTATATATCAGCAGCCAAAGGCCACAGGGAGAAGAGTAAGCCACTAGGACTGATTTTGGCTTCTGAAGCTGCAGAACCTATGCCCAGTAACATACTACCTCCAACAGAGCCTCAACTACTCCAACAAACCATATCTCCTAATCCTTCTCAAGTATTGCCACTCCCTGTTGACTAAGTATTCAAATATATGAGCCTATGGGGACCATTATTGATAATGATGATGATGATAGTAATAATAATAAAATGTGATTGATTTTGAAACTTCTTTCTAAGTCATTAACAAAATAACAAATAATAGGAATATGAAAAATTTGAACAAAATCGCTCACTAAATGAACCTAATAAACATTTATAGCATACTCAGTAGCAAAAGAATAAACATTCTTCCCAACTGCACATGTAAAGTCACCAAATAAAATAACATAAAGCTGACTACATATTGAAAGATGAAAACTATAGTCTGGGTATGATGACATGATGGTGAATTTCTGTAATCCCAGAACTCAGAAAACTGAGTTCAATCTTTGGTTACATTAAAATATCCTGTCTCTAATAAAATAATTATACATGGCATGGATGTTCTCTGATTTAAATTAAAATAAAATAAAAATAATGAACATTTAATTGATAATATATAAATATTAAGTATTCGGAAAATAAAATATATAAATTATGTAGGATATACTACAAAGCAAAATTTGGATAATATAGCTAAGGCAACACTTCAAAAAATATAGAATATTAAATGGCTATATTCAAAGGTAACAAAGCCTAAAATTTAGTGCAAAAGCTTTAAGAACTACCTAAGCATTACAATCACACTACTTGAGTGAGAAAAGTAGTTGTCAAGTGAAGGAAAAATCAAAGTGTCAGTTCTGAAAGATTTAACAGAATAACCTCTTAGAGTTAAATTATTAAGAGCCAGAGCAAACACAGGTACGTGGATACGCCTGCATATGTAGAGGTGGAGCAGGCCTTTGCTGAGAAGACAGTACAAAGTCAGCCCAAAACAACAAGGGTTCATTTAGGTTCAGGTTGTTAGCTCAAGGCTGAGCATAAAAGCTGTCAAAAGTCCAGGAACACAAAGTCAGCACAGAACAATAGATTAGATCACAGACTGCAGAAGACTCACAAAGGAGGAGCGCTTTCCAGTCTTAAAGAGACGAGGGTAGGAGAACGTTTTCTGTCTCTTTCTAAGTGGCCATGAAGTATGGCTTCTATTTTTAAGGTCAACCCAATAGAAAAGATCTCAGGGGGAAAAGTTGGCATTAGGAAAAATCATTCCAAATAGAATTTAAAGTCATTAATCTACTTTCTTTGGAGAAAACCCATGTTAGGCTACTTACCCCACACTAATGCATGGACTATCCTTAGTATGAACTGATTTAACTCTTTTCCAGACAGTGCCTACAGAATGAGACAGTCCCAGTACTCTGCCCCCAACAGCTGCTTCCTATATACCACGGAGCCACCTAGTTTAAAAACAATGTTAACAAAGGCATCAATTGTTTCTTTACGTGTAATTTTAACTTTTTTGTTAATTTTTGTTATTTTTAACTCCTTTTGAGCTCAAAGGCATATGTTCCTTGAAAGCCAACAAATAACATAATCTTGAAACCATTTTTTTAAATTTTCACATGATTTTCAAAGCTTATTTTCACATTAAAATGTTTACTATGTAGCACATGGTAGAAAGGTGAAAGTAAAGCCACAATGGAGAGTCACGAAGACGAATGAGATAATGGCCTACCTTTCCCCGAGAGCAGAAATGCAGTTAGGAGTGGCTGGGGAAGGAGAGGCAGTTTTTCCATCCTATAGCCAGCCTCTAGGAAGGTGTGCATGCTCTGTGAATAATCCTCATGTATGAGGCTATAGAAGCTGTAATTAAATTCAGTGGGACACACACATATTAAAAATATACAAAAGGAAGGAAGGAAGGAAAGAAGGAAAAAAGGAAGGAAGGAAGGAAGGAAGGAAGGAAGGAAGGAAGGAAGGAAGGAAGGAAGGAAGGAAAAAAGACGGAACGTTAAGACATTGGAAGATAAGTAGGGAAGAAGGAAGTATGTTCAAGAGTAAGGAACAGAGGCAGAATGGATATGATCAAAATATACTAAATTCATGTATGAAGTTGTCAAAATAAAATGAAGCCCATTATTATGTATAGCTAATAGACACTAATGAAAATTTAAAAAAATAGAAAAAAACACCCCAAAATCTCATTTATAGAATAAGAAATCTAGCTATATTTGCTTTTCATTCTGCCTGATTCTAATTAATGTCTTCTATAAGTCTGAAGACATATCCAATATTCCCACCCTGTTTTCTGCATGAAGAACCTTTCCTTCCTTGTGTAGTGCATGATTATTTAACTATTTTGATCTTACATCATTCAATTATAATGCTTCTTAAGCTCTTACATTACTCTGTGTATATGAATCTACAGTACAGTTTGTCCAGCTTCTTCGCTTAGATTAGAAATCAGATAAGCAGGTATTAATAAATCAATATTCAGAAATTTAAATACCTATTAAAATATGGCAGTGACAGATACAAAAAACTTCCAGCATTATTTACTCAGACATGGCTGACATTTTCTTCCTATACCACCAACTAAAGATAAATAGATCACACAGCTTAAGATTAAATTCAGCATGACATTTCAGTTTGTTTGGATTACCTTTTGTTGTTTAAAAAGTCTAAAAACTCTGAGATGTTCTCTGTTCTAAACCTGAAAGTTCACAATTTTCTGAATATTAAAGTACATTTGCAAGTTATTTTATCACAGAACATTCCACAGTATCCAAAGTTGATGCTCTCTGACTTCTGTCTATGGGCAGTTTCAGCTCTGCGATGATAAGATGATAAACGGTTATACACATGCACAGAGATGGAGCACATACAGGTATAGTTAGAGAATGCAAGCAAGATTAATACTGCATCCCTGGAAAAATATAACAAGCAGAGTATTTGACAAATGCCCTGACATGTTGCCTCCATAAATATAGAGGAGTGTGTGTGTGTGTATAAGATATTGGAGAATTCAAAGATCTATAAAAAATAATCAGTTCTTTGTGGGTCCTAGTCAGAATCAAGGTAACAAAGGGAACACAAGACAAAGCTAAGTGACAGATGGGCAACAATGGCTCAGGGACAAGGTCGTGAAAATGAAAGAAAGTGTCACAATTGGAAGCCCATCTGCCTTCTCTGCTGTGTGAAGCATCCAAGATGCATGAGTTCCATCTCAATGACTCAGTAATCATGACTCAGAACTCAAGAAAGACTGGAAAGATAAAACTCAACCTTGAGATAATTATTTTTACAGATCCTGATTAGATGTCATTGGCACTTCATACTTAACAAGAAGTGATAAACATGTCACTGTATTTATGGTTACTTGACACTTATAACTTCCCCCAATAAATAACTAAATAAATACCTCTTATTTTATGATGGAAGGGATTCTTATAAATTTGAAAATCAATTCCATTGAGAGGCTTTTCTTTTGAGAGAAAATATTGGTTAATTTTTAAGCACAGTCAGTTGTGCTAATTTACAAGAAATTCCCTTGTTTATTCAGTATGTAAAAAGCATCTGATCTCATCTTAGTCCACAACTAGCCAAGTACAAGGTCAGGGATGAAGTTAGTTGTACTATCCTCTTACTTCCATTTCCCCCATCTCACCATCCCTCTTTTGCTTCCCAAATGTGTTGCGTGACAATTCACACTCTGATTACCTACGCCTACACAGAAGTTTTTTGTTCATTGAGACAATCCCTGTAGAATTAGAACAAAGGGAACTGGTATATTGCTTTTCTTGCTGCTATGACAAAATATCGTATTAAAAAACACCTTAAAGGATAGAGAGCTTATTTTGATTCACACTTTGAGGGTGAGGGAAAGTGAAGGAGGAATTGCAGTGAGCTCTGCCCCAACTGTGGCAGAGAGCAGCTGATCATAAGGCACGTGTAGTCAGGAAGCAAAGAGATGACTTCTGATACTCCATTCTCTGTCTCTCTGTCTCTCTCTGTCTCTCACACTCTCATCTAAAGCCCCCAGGCTATGACATTCTACTGTGCTACGGCCCCCATTCTAGGTAGATCTTCCCATATTAGTCAACTGTCTCCACCAACATCCTCCTGATTTTCAAATCCTGTCATATTGACAAGATTAACCATCACAGATGAGAAAGTTGAGGACAAAGTATTTAGTCCTTATGAGTTGCCATGCATCACACATTATGAATCATTACTCTGCTGGTATAGAGAGCCCATCCTTGTTAGTGTGGTGGTGTGGTAGTGTGGTATAATTCATAGCAGATGATTACGTGACCTTTGAAGTAATTATTGGAAGGAAATCATTTACTCTTTTGCCATCAGACTGATTAACTGAAATGCTTCCTCTCCTATACCAGGCCATTCAAAGGATCCCCACAACATATGAACACTAAATAAATATTTCACCATAGTTTCTTTTTCTGATTCATTTGAGGGGAGAGTGAATGCTTTTCAGGAGGGAAACAAGTGAGTTGTTGGAAAGACCAGAAATTAACCATATTATGCCTTGTCACTCTCCCAGGGTCCCATGATTCCTTCAGCTTCTACATTGATGAAGCGTCTCCTGTAGGCCCTGAGCAGCCAGAAACTGTCCAAAACTTTGTCTCTGTGTTTGGAACTGTAGCCAAGAAGCTGATGAGGAAATGGTTAGCCACTCAAACCATGAGCTTCACTGGCCAGCTAGGAGCTGGGATTCGCTACTTTGACCTTCGAATTTCCACCAAGCCTAGAGACCCGGACAATGAACTGTACTTTGCTCATGGCTTATTCAGTGCCAAAGTCAATGAGGGTCTTGAAGAGATCAATGCATTTCTCACAGAGCACCCCAAAGAGGTAGTATTCTTGGACTTCAACCATTTTTATGGGATGCAGAAATATCACCATGAAAAACTGGTCCAAATGCTGAAAGACATCTATGGAAACAAAATGTGCCCAGCTATTTTTGCCCAGGAAGTGAGTCTAAAGTACCTATGGGAGAAGGACTATCAAGTATTGGTCTTCTACCACAGTCCAGTGGCATTGGAGGTGCCCTTTCTCTGGCCTGGGCAGATGATGCCAGCACCTTGGGCAAACACGACAGACCCTGAGAAGTTGATCCAGTTTCTTCAGGCTTCCATCACTGAGAGAAGAAAGAAGGGCTCGTTTTTTATATCTCAGGTGGTGCTGACACCCAAAGCAAGCACTGTGGTCAAAGGTGTGGCAAGCGGCCTCAGAGAAACAATCACAGAAAGGTAAGTGCCCTTCGCAAAGCCAGGAGAATTGTCTAGTAGTCTAAACTCAACTTACAGAGCACAAAAGTGAGAGAGCAAAATATCTTACCAAGGTGCGTTAGTTTGCTAGGGTTACACAGTAGCGCAACTGGGTGACTTAAGCTAATAAGCTCCCCTAGGTTCTGGTGAGAGCTGACAGTTCTTGTCCCTGGGTTTATAGATACATCATCAACTGTACCTTCCTTATGTGGTCTCTCTTCCATGTGCCTCTTTTTTTATATGGATAAAACGATACTGAATTGGAACCTGCCTTGATTAATTGATCTTAATTTGATTAGTTCTACAAGTATCTTTTTCTCCAGATAACTTTATATCCATTGAACTTTAACATATCTTCTGTAATACATATCTGTGTGTAACAATATATACCCTGCATCCAGTGGCAAGTCTTGTCCCCTGATTATGATACTCCTTTATGTATCTGTGTAGCACTCCACATATTAGAAGACTCTCGCTTTGCTATTTGCAGTGTTTTTATATACTGAATACCAATTAATATTTAACAACCATGAGAAGTAGAAATTATCATACAGAAAATATAGGTCTAGGAAAATATAATACTTTTCCTAGTGTTCTTCATCAGTGAATGATAAAACAGATACTTGATTTTGACCCATTCTCAAGCCACATCTTGTGCCTTGTAAGTTACATATTCTGCCTTTTTAGAAAGGTTTGTTCTCCAGTAAGATGGCATGCCATTGGTCAAGACTGGCTAACAAGGTAGAGCCATGATCACCTGTGAGGTATTATTCGAGACATCACCAAAGATCTCTGTAACTTCCACCAAAGAGAATAATAGCATTCAGAACCATGCACACCATTTATTTCAGTTAAAATAGCAATTAATGTTAACATAAGGAGAGAGTACCCACATTCTTTTTATAGAATGTATTTTAGTCTTTTAATTGATAGTTTGAATTGTGCTAATAGGACAGAAAGTATGATTTGGTTAGAGTCAATGTCTTGTATGGAAAGATACGAAAATGAGGAAAGGAATTTTGAAGTAAAATGGCGTGGGTGATCCTGTGGAATATCACGATGTGTGGACAGTGGCAGTGGGAGAATCTTTAGAAGATAAGAATATAGTTGAAACCAATATTGTAGCTAAGCTGCAGAGAACTTTATCGAGCCAGTGGTGGAGAGCTAGTTATTGATGTCTGGCAGTCAAGTGATCACAAGTGCCTTTCGATAATAATTGATGCAGACTGCAAGACAGAATGAGGGTAAGTGGGTAAGTAGCTTAGACCACTTTTAGTAAGCTAGTCCACATTAAGAGAGGAAGTAAGGAGAACTTGAAAGAGGATGATGTGTAATAAAGGATAAGATCATAGAGTGACTCTGTGCTAAGATTTAAAGAAGAAAGGATCAGGATTTTGATTGACAGACAGAATGGAGGACCATCTACCAAAGCAGAAACTAAAAACAGTCGAGGGTTGTAAAAGAAGACTATGTAGTTAGAGTCAAGCTAAGTTTGTTTTGTTTGGTTTGGTTTGGTTTTTAGTTTTTCAAGACAGGTTTTCTCTGTAGCTTTGGCTGGCCTCGAACTCACAGAGATCCACCTGCCTCTGCCTCCCGAGTGCTGGGATTAAAGGTGTGTACCACCACCACCCAGCAAGTCATGTTAAGTTTAAAAGCCATTAAAAGTATGCAAATAGATGTAGCCAATTGAGCATTAAAACTAAAAGCCAACTCATTTGGAGCTATTGTCACTTATGGATATGGAGAGGCACAAATCACTAGAGTAAAATAGTCTTCCTTACAGAATCATAACTTTCTTCTGTTGATGACATACTGGCTGGGATCTCTACTTGCTTTGAGATTTAAATGCAATTGCAAAGCATCCATTTTATACCTACAGCACTGAAATCTCTTCCATGCCATTTCCTATAATGTCTACCTTTCTTCTCTTAAAACTTGAGCCCTAACTACTGCTTCAGTGCTTGAGACATCAGTGATCCCACATGATCTGTCCATGCATTCCATTGCTCTAGTCTCGGCGTCTTCCATGATTTTTAGATATTACTGAAGATCTATGGATCTCAGAGAAATTGCATATTCAATTTAATGCACATAATTGGAAAAGTAAGTTTAGCGTTTTGTCTGTAATTTTAAGACTTCCCCTGAGATATCTCCTCTGATGACTAGTGTATGACTTGGTATCTTAGCCAAACACCCTCTGGTGGAATCCACTCTTCCACACACCCATCCTCTTCTCACTACTTTCCTTTGCTTACGCTCTAACTGCCTTTGAGAGCCCACATCCTTCTCCCAGATGATTAAGGCTCAACTCACTTAGTTCCATCAAAATATCCCAAATCAAGAAAGATTTTCATCTAATGGCACTACTTTCCATAAAGACTAGCTGATCTGACAAATGACTACTTGACTTCTCACCAAATTAGCAAGCAAGGAATTAATGTACATATAAAAACGTGCTATTTTAGTAATTGTATCCCATAAGGTCTCTATGTTTTGATGAAACCCTGGCATCCCACTGGAAATAGTGAATAAACAAAGAAATCCCCAGGCTAAACTGGTACCATTTTTTTGCCATTCTGCCTCCATCTTAGCAGAAAGAAACTCTATCTTTAACTTTTATATTTTAGGATGGCAAAGTCTCCCTATGATCTCTTTAAGTTTACAAGAGCACACCCATTTCAATATACAATTCTCTATTTAGGAAACCATTTACCTATACTACAAGACTGTTTTGCCTTTTGACCAAGAGCCATTCCATGGTTTCCCAGATAGAAAAGCAGTCTTTGAAACACCCACAAAGGACATACTCAGAGGGAATGGCTTTCATTTACCTTTCTATAGCATTTGATGGACTTTGGATGCTTCTAAGTCATACTTAAACTGCTTTCTGGCTATTTATGCTCTGGTATGCTACTATAAAGGAGGACTTGTAGAGATAAAAATATCAAATGTTAGGAAAGTACTGAAAACTGTATTTTACACAGTTCTCCCAAGAGTCACAGTGCACATTACCATATAAAAGACATCTACAAATATTTTATTGAAGAATCCTGTTTTGATTTAACAAATAGTGTTTTCCACACACTTTTTTGAGATAATATTTACTAAGAGCCTATGAAATTAATTGTGAAGAACTGTCTTCAACCATCTGTTCTAACTTAGTATCTCTCACTTGCTTGAGGCTTACATATTTGGAATAGTAGAACAATAGCACCAAAAAGAGAAAGATAAGCATGGGAAAAGGCAGAAAGGGGGACAGGAAGCCCCTGGAGGTGTGACTTGTTCTTTTTGCGGTCTTTCCCCAGCATTTGCTCAAGCCCTTCCCTGCCTTAATTAAATCAAAATTAAAAAACTTTAGTGAATTCTAACTTTGCTTCAAAAGAATAAAGAAAAGAAAAAGGTATTTAATTTAAAAAAAAAAAGGATCCTCTAGGTAGAATGAAATTTTGTCCTCTAAGATCGTACAAGTGACTTGCCACTGGTTTACAGATCCATCGGCCTTGTAACCTGGTCACCATACTAGTGTTACGAGCATTCTGCAACTGAGCTTCATCTTGCACAGACTAGAGTCACCTGCATTTTATCCTTGCATCGCTGGACTGAATGCGGTGTTAATGTGAAACCTGAGTTTTTGCTTTGTTACCTTTGAGGCAGGAGAGGGACCTTCTAGCTTTCTGGACAATGCCCCTTTCTGGCCTTGATTCGTGGCCAGCAGAGGTTACTTGCCTCCCTCTAAAAGAGGGAGCGAAGGGTCATTTTTGTTGCCATTTCTTCAGATCAAGTGAAGAAGCATAAAACTTGACTGATGTTTTTCAGCTACTCCATTGTGCCATGGCTGTTCACCACCAAAGTTCCATGTTAGGACCAAAAGATACGATGAACTTTTCTAAGACCCAAAACAAGATCACCATGCAATCATCAGCCATGGGACTCAAGAATCCACACCTGCCACGCACAGCGCCCCCATGTCTGAGCTCTGTGCATTGGCACCAAGTTCACGAGCTTTGGGCAAGGGGGCTTGAGGTTAAAATATACAGATAAACATACAAAGAGACAGCGACACGGGTCTTCCTTGAATTCCCTAAGAAGGCCCCCTTTATTGTGTTCAGGGGCAGATTATATAGAGATAGCCATGCCCCAGCCAAACCCACCAGAAACCACTCTTCTGCCATCAGGAACTCCTGAAGGTCTCGTGCTCAGAGCAGCTGTAGGCACTCAGATCAGGGGATTACAAGAAATTCAGGATCTGGGGACTCACTGCTCCCAACACACACCCGAAACTTTGAAGTTTGAACTGAATCCTGACTTAGACAAGCTTTCTTTTTCCTCTACAGCAATCTTTTCTAATAGCTTGGTTAATGAAATCTCAAGCATGTGTGCAGAGAAGCTGGTGGCTGAAACTCTGGGTGACTTTCAGGGAAACTAAACCCAGCCAGAACCCGAGGACCTCAGCTTTCAGTCTGACCCTCAGTCCTAAAAACTACACATGTGTTTTCTGCACTTCAGCAATGCCGAAAGACACAGATTTTGATTTCTTAAAGACCTATTTTTAATGTATTTTCCAAACACCAGCTTTTACACCTCACCCCCACGAAATTCACACATTCTTAAAAAGAAGGTGTACATCTTGAGTCGATTCCTTTCCTGATATGTGGAAGTTTATTAAATTACTGCTTTTTGGTTTTTTTTTCTTTTTTAAAAGCAAGTGTCACTTGTCAGATTTTAGGAGACAATGTATCTCTCTGTAAGTAAATTAATATTGTCCAATACACTGTATGATCATAATAATCACGCCATGCTATTGTCAATTATCTTATGGTAACCTCTATTGGGTGTTATAGTAAACTGTTTTACCTGTATTAGTTGATTTGACATTCATAAAATCTTTCAGATGCTGGCATATTGCTATCCCATTTTAAAAAGTGCAAGAACTAAGTATTAGAAGCCTTAGCCAACTTCACCTCACAGCATAGTCAAGAAGT